CCATAAAAAATATTTGTTTCTTTTTACAGTATAATTGGAGAATGTGGTAAAAAATATGAAAAACAAAAGAGATCAATTTATTTTTTATTTAAAGATACAAAGTTTCTAGATTTTTAAATTCGGTTGTAAACTTCATTTTTTCTAGTTAAGAATGCGAAATTTACTATTTCAGATTTCAAGATTTGAACTTTGTTATATTTCAATTAAAATTATTGTTTGTCATTTTACTATAGTCATTCAAGTAAGACTAAGTTCATATCTTAAATTTTTTAAAAATATGAAGTTTATATTTTTATTTTTTAAAAAAATTTAAAATTTTATCTTCTAATTTTAAAAAATAGTAGTAGCAAAGTTCTCTTAATTTTTTCACCAAAAAAAAAAAGTTCTCTTACTTTGCCCATATATAGACAACTTCTAAATTTTCCTTTCTCTTTCTCTTTTTCTTATGCAATAAAAGAAAAATGAAATAATTATTATTCATTTGCTTTATTCATTGTCTTAGCTAACTTTTCTATTTCAAAAAAAGTCTCGTTTTCTTACTATTTCATCAAATTAAAGATTTGTGAATCCTTATTTATGCATTTATCTATATTATCTTTAAAAAAAAGTAAATGGAAACTTTTTAAATTTCTAATAGGATGAATAAGTAAAATAAAAGAGATAACGATAAGGTTAAACCAAAAAAAATATTTATCCATATTAAAAAATAAAAAAGACAATTATTTTGAAACACTTACCATTAACGAACAACGATAATTTTTGAACAAAGAAAGTAATTCAAATAAATTAAAATCCATTTCTATATAAGTTGTCGTAACAACACATTGACTATAAAATCCTTAATGATATAACTTGTAGCAACACTTCTTAGTGTGGGTATCTCTGTGTTAGGCCTTTGTCTAGATGGATTTACACACAATACTTTTTACTGTAATTATTCTGAATAATAATTATCAATTTTTTTTTATCAAATACTACAATTATTATACTTTACAAAAAAATTACATATAAAAAAAAATCTCAATTACCCCCCCCCCCCCCAAAAAAAAAGTCAGACGAACTTATAAGAGAAGTAGTACTAAAAGAGAACTCTCTTTTGTGTTTTATTTTTTTTTTCCAATTAAAAGAGAACTCTTTAATCGATAATTAAGCCTAGTAGGTAAACCAATAAAAATATTTTTTTAAAATAATCAACCAATAATAATAATATATAAAATGCACTTGAAATTTGTTCTTTATCACTTTGAGAAATAATAGGCTGCAGATATGCTCTCCACCTTGTATAAATATAAAAAACAGTTAACACCTCCCTCACGAACTCATTTCCTCTCTAACCCCTCTCGTCCTGGGGGTTTTGTTTTCCCTCACTCAGAGTCCTCCAAATTATGGCGGATGAACAACAGAAGCGGGATTTTGTACTAAATACCCCTACCTCGGAGCCGCCTCCTAGAAGCAGAACACCTGACACAAACTTAATCGACGACGACAATGAATATTTCAAATCCCTTCCTCCAGGCTACCGCTTCAAACCCTTCGATGAAGAGCTCATCATTCACTACTTGAACAACAAAATACATGAGAAGCCATTGCCTCGGAATAAAATAAAGGAAGTTAATTTATATGCACACAATCCTGAGACTCTCGCTGGTAAATATTATCAATTTTTCCTTTTTCTATTTTTTTATCTTGTTGGGGGGCTACCATATATATCTCAGGTGTTTTATTTAATCAACTCGTATCTTTACTTTTCTATTTCGTATACTATGTCCAATTATTGTAATCTATGCTAGGTAACCAATGATTATGATTTTTGAGCTCAACTAAATGGATTTATATTATATTTTAATGATTATATCAATTAGGTGTTTGCATCTGTTTCAAATCAGAGGATATCCAAATTATATATATGCATATTTGCATAGAGTAGCAAAATACTCTAGGATTTGAGATTCAGCCATTCTTTGTTGTTACTATTTGTATAATGTTAAAATGGTTCACAGAGAAGTTTCCTTTATATGAAGAAAAGGAGTGGTATTTCTTTACTCCTAGAGATAGGAAGTATCCGAATGGATTGAGACCGAAAAGAGACGCCGGTTATGGATACTGGAAGGCCACCGGAGCAGATAAGAAGATCTATAATGATGACAGTCGGAAAATCGAAATCGGGTACAGGAAGGCATTAGTATTTTACGAAGGGAAGGCTCCTAATGGTGTGAAGACGGACTGGATTATGCATGAATATAGGGCTACTGGTGCACCTTCTCCGAAGGACAAGGAGACCAAGCCCATGCGTGTAAGAAATCGAAACCCCATATCTCAAATTTGTTTTCTTTTTTTGTGAACATCTAAATTGTGACTTACATCTCTTCTCTTCTTTTGTTCTTGAAGCTTGATGATGTGATTTTATGTCGGTTGTACAAGAAGGTTGACAACAAAGCTGGCAGAAATAAACAGAAGGATGTTCCTGTGGAACCGGATGATCAGGATGAACAACAATCAGATAATGAAAATGAAAATCATCAAACTACTGAAACTGTTGATTTTAGCAGAGAGTTGCCATATGAAGAAGGCCCTAGCAATATACCGCTGTTACAGCCGAAAACAGAATATCCCTTCTCTGGAGGATCTAGTTATAATACATATGGTGGTAGTAACTTCTCGATGTCATCAAATTTTCAGAATTCTTGTCATTCTACCCCTGATTATGTGAATGGCTATCCTGTTCCTTCGTTTACTGGTCATCATGACAATGGTACTCTCCATGAAGACTTACAAAGTTTTTGCACAACACAAGGTGGCAATGACGTGATGCATGATATGTTCCAGGATATACCGAGTACTTCTAGCAGGCAAGATGCATTTACACAAAACGTCTCTAGTTTTGTGACACAATCCGAGAATAAATATCCCATGATGATAAATGGTAATTGTCAGCATGATTTTCCAGCACCTTGTCCTCAGCGTACTATGACTGCTCCTGCTCCTGCTCTTGCTATGCCTTATAACGTTTCGCCATCCGCACCTCCTCAGTATGTTTTGCGTAGAGATTCTAAAACAGGATACAGAGATTTCAAAAAGATGAGAACATGCATTAATTTATATCCCTAATTTTGAACTAGGTTTTGTAGGAACTATACTTATTCTGGTTCTGTAAATACTTTCTTTAGGAATTCACCCAACTTTGTTTTCCTACTGTGAATACTTAGGACGTAGGACTTCACCAAAAAGGCAATTTCAATTGGAATTTTAATTTCGTTATTTAAATGGTACTCTTGTTGCTTCTTTTCGGGGTTTATTCTTAGCCATTCTTGACTACTTAAATTAATTGGCGTCAAATTATCCCTTTTATTTTATGTGTACTCTTAATTTTCGAACATGAGAAATTGGAACTCAAACCATGAAATTTCCCATGGTATTAAGTAGAATCTAAATTTTTTTGACGGATTTCTCTTAAAAAATTTTTAAAAATATAAAAGAACAACTTAGAAAACACTTTTTCTCCTCAATATTTTGCAAAATATATCCCTTTGGTGTCTTTATTTTATTTATACTCTCTCCATTCTAAAATAATAATTTTTTTATTTAGAATTTGTTATAGAATAATGCTCCATCTATTTATTTTTAGTAGATATAATTTAATTTTTTTTTATTTTTAAGATATGAATTTTGGATGAAAATTTAATAAATTATATGAACAACAATTAAAATTTTTTTTTTGTTCCTATACATAATTCATGGTTAAATTTTTATCTATCATTCATATATATCTCAAAAGTCAAAGTAAGTTTACTAAAAATAAAAGAAGAGAGTAATAATTTTTTTCATATTTTAAGAGAAAAATTTTTTTTTTCTCATTTTAACCTTATCATTATCTTTTTACTTTAACTATTTATCAATACTGTAATTTAAGTCTCATTATTTTTTATTTCTTTTCTTAGATGTAATATGAATAAAAATAAAATTTATTTTTAAATCTTTAATTTGAAAATAAAATCAAAAGATCTCTATTATTTTGAGAAGAAAGAAGTAATATTAAAGCCACTAAAAATAAAAGAAGTATTGAAGTACTAATAATGCATTGTAAAATTATGTTGTGACTTTAGATTGCCTTTAAAAAATAAAAACTATAGTGATCATACCCGAGCTGAGGAAGTCAGTGGGCGCAGTATGGCTTCATCTGTCTTTAGATTGCAATGATCTGTCATCAGGCCCGAAATTTACCTAAGCATTTATTCGGCCCACACAAATTACCAGGTGCAAACGGGATCTTTCTAGAACTCCCTGAACGGAAGTCCAAAAAAACCCTTTTTCCTCTCTCATAGTCTCCTGTCCGCATGGCAAAATGCCAGCACAATCCAGCGGAGAGTAGAAGAAAATTCAAAATTCTCTGCTTACAATTTACATGGTATCAGACCATTGGATGACGAATTCTCCAGAAAAATTTTTATAGAACACCCTACCAGGATGGGGCATGTCCTGGGGTAGGTAGGTCGAGATGAAATAAATAAGAAGCAACCATTCCTCACTTCATTGATTAAAATATTACTATTTTCGTGTTTTCGTAATTAAGGTTGCATAGGATTTAGTTCTCTTTTCATTTTCAAGTGTGAGTTATATATAATAAGAAATTATTGGTAGTTTCTTTTCTTTTAGTTATCTTCTCTTCATATTATATGTCTAATTTGATGGGTATGAATATCGAGAAGACTTTTTTCTCATAAAATGGGTATCTAAACTTTTAATTCAATTAATCATATAAATGTTTACAAAGCATTTTGTATATAAAATTAAATACAGTTCAATTTAATAATAAGAGTTGGATCCACTATTTGTTGGCAAAAATTTTTATTAATATTGATCAATTAAGCTGCTTGTTTCATCATTCTCTATTATTATTCACGTGTTTTATTCACATAAATTAATTTATTCTGTTAGGTCACTTTTCTCAACACTATCTTAATCTTTGAGTTGGGTCATCTCACTTCTAAAAATAATAATAAAATTAGAGTATTTAATATATTTTAAAATGAATTATATTCTCTCTTAATAGATTTAGTTGTCTTAAATTAATTTTTATATAAAATTTAATTAAATGATTTTATATAGTAAATAGGTGATTAATGAAAAATTTTTTAATTTAAGTAAAAAAACTTAATAAGAATTATGTATAAAAAAATTTTAATTATTATTTATTTATTATATAAATTTATCTAATTAAATTTATATCAAAATTAAATTAAATTAAATTAATTAAATTCGACTTAAAAGAGTAACTAACTTAGATTATATTTTTAGTATAATCACGGACAATTAAATTGGACGCAAGATAGTTTTTTCTTTTTTGTATGAACCACTTAGTATCTGAAAACTCATTGGATTATTGATTAATCTGGATTCGATTCAGGTAGGATTCAATGGATAACAAAAGCTTCCCTCATAAATTTTAAAAGAGTTACATTTTTAAAACTTAAAATTAAAACTTTTGGTTAAATTAAAAGAATTATCTGCCAACTCATCACCCAATTGTAAGTATCGGACACAAGATAGTGATAAGGAGCCAGGGGACATTATTATATTGCCTCCTAGAAGCTGCATAGCCAATTGCATTGGTAACTAATGGAATCATTCAGGTGACGGAGGATACCCAAACCCAGATTTTAATATGCCATGAATGGTGTGTATGTGTGTGGCATCCAGCTGTCGAAGTCCTCAGCAACAACCCACAAACTAGCTCTCAATGACTCAATGCATTCAAGGAACATTCCCAAAACACGGCCTTTTCAAACCTCTGCCTCTATAAATAGGCCCCCCAACCCACCCCACTGCCTCAACAATTCAACACTTCAGTGCGTCAAAACCCAAACCCAGCCTCAAAATTCCACCACCGCCGCCCACCCATTAACCAAAATACTATTACTCTATGGCTCCAAATAATTCCCTACCATTAACTCTATTGGTGTCATTTTTCTTGGTTGGCACCACTTTCGCTGCTACCAATTTCTACCAGCAAGTTGATATCACATGGGGAAATGGTCGCGGTATGATCCTTAACAATGGTCAGCTTCTCACCCTCTCCATGGACAAAACTACGGGCTCAGGCTTCCAATCCAAGAATCAATATCTCTACGGTAAATTCGATATGCAGCTCAAACTTGTTCCTGGAAACTCTGCTGGCACTGTCACAACCTTCTACGTAAGTTCTCTATCTCCCTTCTCACTTTATATTTGAACCGATAACCTTAATGCCCATAATTAAAATTTAGCTCAATACTCGGCTGAGTTTTTATCTAATAATCATGATACATGCATATTGTGATGCAGTTGAAGTCCGCGGGGTCTACATGGGATGAGATAGATATCGAATTCTTGGGGAATTTGAGTGGTGATCCTTATATACTCCATTCAAACATTTACACACAAGGCAAGGGGGACAGAGAGCAACAGTTCTATCTATGGTTCGACCCAACCGCTGATTTTCACACTTATTCAGTCCTCTGGAATCCAGGAAACATTATGTAAGTACATATAAACATACATAGCATCAAAATTCTATCACCTCTGTTTTCCTTAAAATAACCTCTGTTTTGTGTATTTTTGCAGCTTCTATGTCGACGGCAGGCCAATCAGGGAATTCAAGAACTTGGAGGGCTTTGGAATTCCATACCCAAAGAGCCAGCCAATGAGGGTATACGGTAGCTTATGGGACGCGGAGGACTGGGCGACCAGAGGTGGCCTGGTGAAGACAGACTGGAGCCAAGCCCCCTTCACAGCTTCATTCAGGGCATTTAGTGACAGTAACGCTTGTCTCTATTCCAATGGAGCCTCATCTTGCAGCTCCAATTCATCATCAAATGCTTGGTACTCACAACAGCTAGATTCTTCCAACCAAAAGGTCCTGAAATGGGTCCAACAGAACTACATGGTCTATGATTACTGCAAAGACACTAAGCGTTTCCCTCAGGGCCTCCCCCCTGAATGTACCGTTAGAAGCACGTAAATCGAAATCCAGGGCATGATCCACACAAATAAAACATGCGTGACTCTATGCACAATAAATTTTTTTTTGGCCGGGTGTTTGTATATATGCTCTTGTATTAATTACAAATAATATTTTCAAGATGTAATAAAATTTGCATTGTGGGTTATAAACAGGGGAGCTCATTCCTTTATACCATTATTACTTGCATGTCATATGACGTTTTTTTTTTTTTTTTGGGGTTCAATACATGTCATAAAGCTTAATTCATGTGGGGTTCGAATATAAAATAAGAGACTATTATATTTTCTAAGCCGTCCACCTGAATATGATATGTTTTCACATAGGTTCAAAGGCATTGGGACATCTGTTTGGGGATAACATTTTATTGTTTTTGTGTGGGGAACAACTGTTGTGTTCCACGCTTGAAAAGCCACACATAATCATGTCATGTTAAGGAATACCATATATTGCATGATACATCGTGGAGAATGGGTCATAACTCATAAGTCAATGTCATCAAGGGAAAGCAAACAAAATGTTGGAAAAATAAGGAAGTCAATTTCAGGATTATTTTTCAACAGCTGTAATTTATAAACGATAAAAATTCACAATAAATTTTATAATATTTACATAATATTAAATAAATATATATATAAATACACATCTTAACTCAAATTAAAGGACTTAATAAAAATTACAATATTTGATAATGTAAAATTTTATTGTTAAAAAATATGGTTAAATTTTTTTTTTCCAACTCTTAACCAATTTGATGCTGACCTATTAGGGAATGATGATGGCTGGTTGTTTGGGTTAGGAAGATTTTGTTTTTTCCCTTCTAAGAGTAGGTCAATGATATATAGGGATTAGATTTTTTCTTTGGTATTAATAGGCATTAGATGACAAATGGTGTGGACTATTTGGGCCAATAACCAGGTCCTGTTGGGTAAGGTAATATACAGGAAAAATTGGGCCTACTTTTCTGATGCTGATGGTTTTCTGCCAACTATAGTCTAGTCTATTTCAGGGTTTGTTTTAGGCAATCAGCCTATTTTGGGTTTTTCAAAATTTCCAAATTAGTGAGAGGGAGTACTTATTTTGTTAATTAAACCTCTATTAATAACATGTACTTTTGTGATAAATTAAATAGAAATTCACCATAAAAAAAAAAAAAGAAAAGAAAGAAAGAAACTCTTTGTCGAAGTCTAAATTGGAACTCTCAGTTATTTTCTTCAAAAATAATTAAATAGGAACACTTTGGACTCTTTGAAAGAAAATTTTGCCTCATAAAAAAAAAAAAAACTACTTTTTCAATAAAGGTGGTTTTCAAACAATGAATCTACAAGTTGGCAAAAAAAAAAAAAAAAAAAACAGCAAAACTACAAAAAGAACTGGAAAACGTGTTAGAAGGATAACATATGCAAACTATTCATCCGTCGGCGTAATGGCACTTTAAATGGTTTTTTATTTAGAATTTTTTTAAAAAAAAAACGGAGTTATATTGTAGGGGATAAGGGAGTCAGAAGTACTCGAATTCGATGAGAAACGTCACCATGAAGAGTAATCAGTTATTCTACCTAGAGTTTGTCAATTTTTTATTTAGAATTGATTAAATGTCAATTTTAATTTTTTAATTTTAAAATTTTATATAATTGTTGTTCTTTCACTATCTTAAATATTTTTTTGGTTCTTAATTTTGAAAAATATTTTTTCTCTTAATTAATTTATTAAAT